TTTTCCAAAGCGCTTAAACTCTGAGGAAATATATCTACATTTTCCATTGTCTCTAGGCATCCATTATGTTTCATAAAAGCTGTTATTGTCAGTCTGCTAACCATTACCTAAAGTTAATAACATGTTAATTTCTCACGGTATAGCTCCATGCAAACTCCTAATCCAGCTCCGTTTGTCAATAAAAGTAAGGCAAAGTAGCCTTTTTTTTTTTATATACGGTGTATTTAGAAAGTGTGTTAGATAAATTGGTATTCATGGTGCTGTTGTCTGAATTCCACTGAGAAGTTGTTACAGGCTAGTAAAAAGAAATGGGAAGAGAATGAATGTTATCACAGACTTTCAGATACCGTATTCCTGGAATGCCTTGCTGCTTTTTTTTCGCCATTTATTGTATACTGGCACACAGATGCTGGGAACCCTTAACATCTTAGCGCTAAAGAGAGAATGACAACGGAATTCTAAACGCAATGGAACATATTTAACGGTGTACTTGCAATGTTACCCAGGACAAAATCACTTTCTGCTCAGGGAAGTGTCTGGAGAGTGTTCAGTCCTAGGTGGGAGCATTTTCAGTCTGAGAGGAGTAAGTGGAGCACAAACCATTTTACGCATCAATCACCCTTATACTACTTGGACATGTTTGTTACTGTCAGGAAATCTAACAGCTCGTGTTCTTTCTTCTGTAATCATAGGTACACACTGTGGAACTGGCATCCATTTGAATGGTCCTTTTTTGATCTGTGTTACATAGCTTTGTTATTAATATCTTCACAAAATTGGAAGCCCATGATAAGAGGCATAACTCATTGGCCCTTTATAATACCAGAAATGTGAGGGTTGTGGGTTAAAACTCATACATGCAGCATCAATACTAACAAATGAACCCATATTTATTTATAAACCTTTGAAGTGGAACCTAAAGGTAAACAGCTTTATACACAGTTAAAATATGTCTTTGGGAGATATCCTGTACACGGCCTTAATGACAGCACACCCAACTTGGTTAACTGATTTTAGGCACACTCTTAGTTCACCTACCTGCCCCAGGCTGTGACTAGACAGTTAGTGAAAGTGCTACTAAATCCCCCCAAAACTATATAATATTGAGTACCTTTATTGCTAGTCATCTGTGACTTTTGTAATGCCTGCATCGGACAGCACGTTCACATAAATGTTTTTATAAATCTTGTAATCTGCAGCTTCCTTTATGATGGTGTCTATGTTCACTCTACATGGTCCCACTGTATGTGGGAATGTAGCCACCCTCCTCTGACTGCTCTCCACATGGACTACAATGCATCCAACACTGGCATGTTAAAGCAAAGCAACACTCCCATTGTGGAGAAACTGAGAGTGATCATCAATTTCATTGATAACATCTATGCCCACACAGGACATAATTATTACACCAATGCATGCGCATCAGGACCACTGGGGCAGTGCATAATAGGATTTGCAGTTTGAATACATCAAATCACATGAACGCAATACAAGTGCCTTGCTTGTCCTCCATTGCCGCAAATAAAAATAGTACAGGCAGGGAGGGGAGGGTGTGGAGGAAACAAAGACTGGGAGAAATAAAGGTGTTTATATTTGAATGGTAATTTTGAATGAAAGACGCTGGTCTGTAGCCAGGAGTAGGATGTTTATATTACAAGGGTCGTTTACTGATACTTGAAGTTAGTAGGAGCAGCAGCAGACTGATGAAGTGATCTCTCTATTCTCTCTCCTGCTAACAAATATTTACCCATGGAACAGGTTGGCTCCTATATTAAAAACAGTTGCAGAAAGCCCTGTGCTGAGGACAACTACACTAGGCTCCCATCATATTAGACTCATGTATTCAATCCATTGTACAGTAGCATATGGATGTGATTGCCAGTAGTATTGTCACTGGTATTTGTTTCTTTATTATGGAGGATGGGACAGCGTGTAACACAATGAGATAGAATTCTGGTAGGCTGTTAAATATAACTAGTAACTAACGTTCATCAGCGTAAAAGTAGTTATAATAATCTGAGTACTGAAACAAAATGAAAGTTCTATTTAAAGTTAGGATTTGTTGGAAATGACTCCTCTAGTAATGTGGTAGCTCTCTAGTAATGTGGTCCAATATTCTCTTATGGAAGAAGATCTTGGAGTGCTGACCACAATTTACTTTATGGTTTTTAAAATAAACATTTGGAATTGAAATTTCCAGAGCACAACCGAGGCTGTGAAAAGTAGAATGTTTATCACAACTACTAACATTTTCTAATAATTTCTGTTTGCCTTTTAGTTGGTTATTGAAGTATATGTACATCACAGCACAACACAATTTTTTTATTACAAGAGCTCATACCTCCCAACTTTCTGAGATGAGAAAGAGGGACAACTTCTAGCGCAATGGACACAGTCTTGCAATGCCCCCAGTTATGATGGACCATTAAGAATGTATATGCTAAAAATGATTGGTTAAATCCAGAATTTTATTTTTTTAACCATTTATTTTCCTCTATTTTGGCTTCATAAAATAGCAAGCAATATCATAAAGAGATAAGATAAAGGTTTTATTGCAGAAAAACACTTTTTCTAGTTAAATAGAACCTTTCATAGATATCTGTACTTCAGACCATATAGCGGGTTAACTGAGGAGTAAAGAGAGACAAAGTCATTTGGCTCCAAATGAGGGACAATCCCTCCAAATGAGGGAACGTTGGGAGGTATGGGGAGCTGCATAGGCTTCACTACTGAGCAGGCTTGTGTTCGGGCTAGGAGGGAACTTTAGGTTCTGTTTCTAAAACCTAACACATGATGGTGTCTCCTATGTGTGTATATTTACTTTTACAAAATTATATAATCTAGTTGTATGCGATGTCACAGCACTGCACGTATAATATATATGTCATAATAGCAACCAATCAGAATACTTGTAGACATTTTCCATAAAAATAAATGCCAAACCTGATTGGTATTGGCAACAACTTTGTGCTGCTTTTGTTTTCTCTAGGTTTAATGAATCAGCATCAGAATACTCATTAAGTTGTCCCAAACATTTCTGTCATGGGGGAATATTTACAACTCCAATTCCCAAAAAGTCAGGACGCTATGTAAAATCTACATAAAAACAGAATGCAATGATTTGCAAATTTCAGACACCCATATTTTATTCACAGTTAAAAATAGAAAACATATCAAATGTTTAAACTGAGAAAATAAACCATTTTAAGAAACAAATGAGGTAATTTTGATTGATGTCATCAACACGTCTCAAAAAAGTTGGGACAGGGCAACAAAAATCTGGCAAAGTAAGTGATACTAACAAGGATAACATTTTGCAACTAATTAGGTAAATTGGCGACAGGTCGGTAACATGATTGGGTATAAAAAGAGCATCTTAGAGAATCAGAGTGTTTCAGAAGTAAAGATGGGCAGAGGTTCACCAATCCGTGAAAAGCTGTGTCTAAAAATTGTCAAACAATTTCAGAATAATGTTCCTCAACATAAAATTGCAAAGGCTTTAAATATATCATCATCTACAGTACATAATATCAAAAGATTCAGAGAATCGAAATTGGACATTCTTTTTGGCAACCTTGGCTGCTGCGTTCTCTAGACTAAAGAGAAGAGGGACATTCTGGCTTGTTATCAGCACTGCATCTCTGATGGTATGAGAATGCATTAGTGTGTATGGAATGGGCAGCTTGCACATCTGGAAAGGCACCATTAATGCTGAAAGATATATCTACAGTAGGTTTTAGAGCAGCATATGATCCCATCCAGATGACGTCTTTTTCAGGGAAGGCCTTGCATTTTGCAGCAGGACAATTCTAAACCGCATACTGCATCTATGGCAACAGCATGGCTTTGTATTAGAAGAGTCCAGGTGCTTGAGTGGCCTGCCTGCAGTCCAGGCCTTTCTCCAATTGAAAATATTTGGTGCATCTTGAATTGAAAAAAACGACAAAGAAGACTGTTGAGTAGTTAGAATCCTATATCAGGCAAGAATGGGACAACATTCCTGTCCCAAAATGCCAGCAACTGGTTTCCTCAGTTCCCAGACATTTTCAGAGTGTTGTTAGAAGAAGGGGGGATGCTGCACCCTGGTAAACATGACCTTGTCCCAAATTGTTTTTAAGATGTGCTGCTGCTATCAATTTCAAAAATGACCTTATTTTATTCTTAAAATGGCACATGTTCTCAATTTAAACGTTTGATTTTTCTATTATGAATAAAATATAGGTTTATGAGATTTGCAAATCATTGCATTCTGTTTTGATGTAGATTTTACACAGCGCCCCGACTTTTTTGAAATAGGTGTTGTATAAAGCAGCGAATGTGACATTGCTAAACATTCAGGAGACTCAATCACTCTAATTTCAAATACATGCACCAGGAAAAATACACCTGCAGTGAATGCTTGGTGAACGTCACATTAATTGCTTTTTAATTATACTCCATAGTTACCAGTTATCCCTAAAAGCCCATTCATGCCAGCCTGGTCCCCTACAGTAGGTCTACCGCACATGTATAAAGGTGCATTATGTCATACATTAACATTTAATTTAAATAGGCTGCCTAAGGCATCACAGTGTACCAGAAATTGCTCCTGCTACATTTTCAGCAGTACCGTGCACTGTAATGCATGGTAACATGTTACCCCACATTACGGTGTGCATCAATCTGTATCTGGGAATGCATGTTGGGATGCCATTCAGAATAACTTGCACTGCATCACACCAATGTGCAAAATAATTGTGTGTTGCGGTAACACAAGTGCATTATCACAGTGCACTGGTGTAGATAGGCCATAAACTGGGAAAGACTTACACTGGTTCCATATTACCCAACATGTTTGCATGAAAAGTGATATATTTACATGTTCTCACACATAAAGTCATTTCACTGTTTGTAATATAAGATGGCCCATGGAGCCACTTTAATGGCTGGGGTTCACACTGAACATAATTATTTCCTGTCACAATTGCTTTGTTAGTGATGTTTTCTTCTTTCTTCCATAGACCTGTCTGGAGCTGGAACGGTATTTACAGACCGAACCAAAGAAGATGTCAGAGGCTTTTGGAGAGGATTTTGACTGCTTCTTAAATAGCTCAATTCCTCAAGGTACAGATGGTTGTGCCCATAAACTAGATCCAATTGTAATTCCTGTGGATATCAGCACGTATGAGAAACGCCCTAGTATGGATATTTTATTATCACAAGACAAACTTCTGTCAGAGACCTGTGTCAGCCTACAGCCTGCAAGCTCCTCTACAGAGTGTTACACATCAGTAAACCAGGCACAGCTTAATGCAGTTACATCACTAACGCCACCATCTTCTCCAGAACTCAGCCGACACCTTGTCAAAACCCCACAGTCCCTCACGGCTTTGGATGGAACTGTGACATTAAAACTGGTTGCAAAAAAGGCCTCTGTGAGCTCTGGAAAGGCTGCAGAATCCTTGTCAGCTGCCATTACATCAAAATGTGGGCTAAGTGACAATGAACAGTCAGGAAACCCAGGAGAAGCCTCACCTGAAAATAAGAAGAGAGTTCACCGGTGCCAATTTAATGGCTGCAGGAAGGTCTACACGAAGAGTTCTCATTTAAAGGCCCACCAGAGGACGCATACAGGTATGAACGTGCCCTTAAGTTGTATCCAAAGCCAATTTTTTACAGTTTGGGATAATCTAGGGAAGGGTTACAAGTTGGGTTTTCTCCTGTCTCTGTCTTGCTGGGGAGCTTCATCCTCTCAATTTGTCCTAATGACCACTGTCACTGGACTGAAGTGAGAGGAAGTCTACAATTTCTTGTCATTATAATTGGAATATAGGTGAAATCTTCAAAGAGGACACTTGTTTTAGTAAAAGCTGTCTAATCAATGATTTCCCTTCCTTTGGAAAGATCTCTCACACCCTGCTGTGTCTCGAGGAAGTGATGGAAAATTTCCTCAAGTGGGCATGGACAGCAAAACAATGCAGTGGGTTTTATATGTTTTTTTTTACCAGCTCCTACTTTATAGAAAACTAAACAAAAATTGGCTTTAGATAACATATCTTTAATGATTTACTGTGACCTATAGTGCTATATAGTTGCTGGAAGGAAGATGTTCACTCAGAGGATATCTATTATGCTCTGGACTAATCTGGTCTGTACAGTGTGCTATTCCTATCACTTGCATCTTACACTGTGATCCTGGACACACAGTACTAAAGCCTTAATTAATGGAAAATAGGAACACAAAACACAAGCCAGGAAGATGAAACTGAATGCATTATGCTATTTTGGTACATGGAGAAGGTTTTATTAGATAAAAGGTACAGAGGTTGCTTTGCCAGTGAAGTCACACATTTCTACAGGTTTAACGACAGAAGAGCTGTGAAAAAAACACTGTATTTTCTACAGTGTCAGTTAGATTTTCTTTTTACTGGCCGTGAGAAGTCTGTATTGATGTAAGGATACATTTATAAGCTTTATTGCTTAAACTGGAGCAATTTAAAAAAATATTCCTATAAAAAGGCAGTAAAAAAGAAGAATATTTGCTTTTTAGATAAATGATGTAAGATCCAAAAAAGTTCAGATAACACAGATACTGATTATTAACCTCTTGCCGTCCGCCCGTTAAGAAAAAACGGACGGACGGCAGACTCACATCCGCCGTCGCTAGATGGCATTTTTTTCCTGCTCGCGCGCGCACGGGCAGGAAAGACCCGCTCGTTACTACAGCCGTTAAGGGGTGTTTCACATACAACCGATCGGTTGTATGGTGTGAATTTCGGAGCGCCCCCCCCCCCCGCATCTCGGGTGCCGCCATCTCCTCCCTCCCATGTCGGGAGCGGGGTGGAACAGCGGACCTTGGGTCAGCAAATCCTTCGACACTGGCAATGACAACGGGTTCCCCACCGTCAGTTGCCGCAATAGAGGATACCACGGGCGTTTCGGCCAGTTGGGCAACACCACCAGGATCGTCACCCGCTCCCCGCTGAGTCGTTTCAAGAAACTGAGGATGAGGGGAACGGGAGGAAAGGCGTACGCTGTCCGAAATGTCCAATCCGAGGTGATGGCATCCAACTGATTGGCTGGTTTGATTGGCTGGTTTGATGCGAGGGACCAGCCTGCGTTTTTGCAGCGGACTGCGAGCTAGCAGCAAATTCTTTAAGCGAGTCCTGGAAAACCTGCTTCATCAGGGACACGACTTGCAGATTATCAGCCAACCGATCTCGTGTTGCATCCCGGAAGCAGACCTCGCAGGCCGTCTTGCCTGGCAAAGCGGGATTATGGCATCCCCAACACTGGTCCGGGAGAGGCTGCGGGAATTTACCCCGGCTAGACGTAGCCTGACGCTCCACCGAAGGAGATCTATGTCGCCGATCTCTGGAGGGCGTGTCGCCGATCTCTGGAGGGCGATTCGTATCTTGAAGAAGAGGAGGAATGATGTCTGGCTCTTCTAGAACGCGAACTATCTCCATGGGGCCTGGATGGGCTGGAAAAAATAGCCCATTAGAAACTAAAATAATTCCAATAGAAAACCTAAACCAGGCTACAGCCGCCTACCTTCTCTGCAGATGCTGGTCTACCGCAGGGGTTGGGTTGTCGCTAGGCATAGTGGAGAAAGTGTGGCTACAGGTGAGAAAAGACAAGCATGACAGTTCAGTCAGGAACACAAAATACATCAAAACAGAGTCCACTTGGATCGTAACCAGGCCCCCCCCTACCTGTAACCGCCGAAAACCAGCCAGACACAACAGCAGATGCGTCGAATTGCAGCAGAGCAAGCCGACCACGGCTCCCTTAAATAGGAAAAAGACGCCGAGTGGCCACGCCCCCATGCCGCATCGCGCACGCGCCGCCAGAGGGAGCCAGAACGAGGCACAAAAAAGGGTGTAAAATTAATTTCAGTACAGCACTGCATGACGGAATAAAAGTCAGTCAAAGTACCGCAGCGCTGAATACTGAAAAATGGCCTGGATGGGAAGGGGGTTTAACACCCCGGATGTCAACTGGTTAAGGGTAGTATACCTTAGTGGTGCTTTGGGTTCCTTCATTGCCCCCAGAAGCCCCTGCCGGGGGCAGGATTCCCTTTCATGTGATCATTGTGGCATCACATAACATGAACAGTAGGTAAAGTTACAGTGAAATCATAGCTGCATATGCTTTCAGTGTCCGTAAATTCGTTGGGGTTGATTTATTAAATGAGTGGGGGATGTTCACTTTGCAGCAATGTACTTTTTTCAATTGGCATTTTTTGTTTATGTACAGTGTGCACATGAATCATGGGTATAGTAGCAGTGTGTATACAATAAAATTCAGGAGTTTAATAGTAGCAAACTACTGTGGAACATGGGGATAATAGTGGCGTGCTTTGATAGAGGCAGGCCTACAGGGGGCTAAATTCTACTAGTATTGTCCTCTAAATATCAGTGCCTTGAGAATATGTAGGCAAAAAATGGCAATCCTGACAATACATGGGCCACAAATGGACAATCGTATACAATACACAGGCAAGAAACAGTCTAATGTTACAGTAGGAGGGCAACAAGTAGTCAAATGTTACAACGTGGAAAACAAAAGGGCAAGCCTGACAATAAATGGGCCACAATTGGACAATCATATACAATACAGCCAATGGACAAATGGTACAATATGAGGACAACAAATGGTTAAATGTTACAACATGGAAAACAAAAGGACAGTCATGGCAATATGCAGAATACAAACTAGCAAATTGTGACAATGTGTGGACAACACACTGACAGCTGTGACAGGATGCAGACAACAAATAATTCAGTGATATACAAATGGCAGCCTCTATGTGCAATCTCTAGACACATCCTTAGGCACACAAACAGCGCATACAGAGATGCTAATGAAAAATGGAAAATAGAAATAATATGCTATATTCGAAATCTAAAATAGCTCTTAGCGTATACATTTGGCATGTTTTCCAATTTAGGATAATCATTTAGATGGTGTTCTTAAGGTTTTGGCTCTGGAATAAAGCTGCCCACACATCTTTAAAGTTATAATATAGTCCCTATTGAGGATGAAGGGGTATCTGACTATCACCTAGCCACCATATTCTGCCTCTATAAAACCTATATTGTTATTTGCCAACATGTTCAAGGTTACCATCACCCCCATTACTGTTGTCAGTAGTTTAACTTACCTGAACACCAGGTTGGTACTGCGCTGTTGCCTTTCTTACGGAGTCAGAACTTCAGTTTAACTGTTAAGCAGGGGTTCACTCTGCCTCATGGAGCTTCCACCATGGTTGTATTGCTGCTTGGAGCTCCTGGCACTGTTTTCCTGCCATTTACTCCCATGAGTCATGGAAGGTTTTTTCCAACCACCCAGAACCCGCTAACTGCAGCACCACTGTCTGTCTCAAATTCCCTCTTAGCAACATATTTGGTCACTTAGTCTATAGATCAGGACCTTAGAAAGGCAAACCATAACTATAATACTAGAAAGACCTGGCAGGACATTGGCAGATTTCAGAAAGGTAGATTAGATAGCTAATACATCTAAAAATAGGAGAAGAGCCAAAGAGCCATACTTTGGCCTCTCTGCTAGTGGTTGAGAGAATGATTGTCATTTTGCTGAAAAAAATAAAATAAAATATAGCAGCAAAAATAATTGAATATGTTTCAGTATTTCAGTAATCATTAAACCAGCATGTGAATGTATAAAAATCATTGTATCTGAATTTAATTGTAAAGCTGTTTTAACATTTAGGCAGCTTGTGCATCATCTTGCTCTTTCACGATCTGTCTAATCAGTGATAATTCATGCCATGTTATGTATATTTTTTATTTTTTACCTAAAAGTGGTTATTTATGAAAATATATGTATAGATATAAAGACAGATACATTACAGTTGGTATATTTAATGCGGTAATATTTATCATCCATTTAGATTAGCAGTCAGAGCAATAGAAAATGACTACTGACTGGTTACTATGGAGTGCGGCATTTTACACATTGCTCCATTGGTCTCATGAATATAGTCTAAATACCACCTGCCTCTCAAAACACTCCAATCAGGGCCATAGGGTAATGTGTAGGGAAAAAACACTGCCTGACAAAAAAAAAGTCACCACCTGGATTTAGCTAAGCAAATAGGTAATAGATTTCCATTGGAAAATTAGTCTACGTTGAGCAACATTATGTGCCCAAAAAATTAGCTCAGCTGCCAACCTGAATATACTAAATGACAGGTTTTTCCATCAATTTATTTTTTTCTTCTCTGATGGCACAGCCATATTCCAAGATGACAATGCCTGGATTCATCGGGCTGAGATTGGGAATGAGTGGTTCAGGGAGCATGAGAAATCATTTTCATTAAATCGGGAGCAGCTGTGTATGACAACCAATCAGCTTCTAGCTTTCATTTGTAAAGCTTAACTGAACAAAATGAAGATAGAAGCTGATTGGTTACTGTATGCAGCCGCTTTAGATTCTGCTACTCCAGTTTTAATTAAAGGAGAACTATGAGGTGAGTGCTGTTCAATCACCTCATAATTCTAGCCGACCGGTGACAATGAGATTGTCACAGGTCGGCTCAGTAGATCGGGAAGTGAGCGAACACATACCGGCGTTCGCTCACTTCTCGATCCTGTCACAGCTCTCTGCCG